ACCTGCAGACTCCTCAGACGAGGACAGCAGCTCCTATGATGGCGCCTTTCATCATCAGGCCAGCAGCGTGGAGGTGGACCCACCTCTCCTCCAGCCGACACAGTCACAAAGCCCGGCCACCTCCACAGACCAGGATTCTACGTCTTCTGAAGAAGTCCTGGAGCCAAAGAAGCCCTCCCTGTGGAGATGCTTCAAAAAGCAGATGACTCCAGCTCGTCTCCGGAAGAATAAGAGCAAACCCTGCTCTTAAGCTCAAGTTCCTGTTGTTTCATCACTGTGTAAATAAATATTCTGAATGTGATATTTTTTTGTTCCGTTTTATTAAATAAATCAATAACAACAAAAAAACAAAATTCTATATTGTGAAATGCTGATTTGTACAAATGTATCCAACTCTCCAATGAAAAATGTCCTCAGGTCTGACTGTTTCTGACTGTTTTATGGTTTGGTATGAATAACATGAAACAACATAGAAAAAGTTTCCTCTCCAGAACGGTTCAATTTGTTCATCTTTTGCAAAGTTAGTTTGAAAAACTCGGAGTCGAGGGCAAACCTTCCTTTTACAGAATTAAATTACTTGTTCTTTTCTCACAGTTGCACATTAACACTTTTATGCTCATATTCTCAGAAAAAATATGTTATGCCTGTTATTTAGATTCAGATATACACATTTATTTTCCTTGATATGTTTAAATCTGAATCAAAGCCAAACACCATCCACTAAGTCTTGGATGGGTCGTGTGAGTAGGTGACCCATAATGAGTCTCTGCTCTCATCCACAGAACAAGGGCCTGAGGTTCTGAGCATCAGCACAAAACCGACCGCCAACCTGGGCCAAGACCAGCTTCTCAGCTGTTATCTTGCCACGGAAACTCAACAAAACAGACTCAGTGAGGTCACCTGGGAGAAGAAGGAGCTGCAGGTTTATAAGTATGAGAATGGAGCTCCAGCCCTGGAGGGCCAGGCCCCGGCCTTCAAAGGGAGAGTCCAGCTCTTCCCTGATGCTGTGACCACTGGAAACGCCTCCCTGCTGCTGAGGGGTGTGCGCAGGAGTGACGAGGGAGAATACACCTGCACTATCAAGTCATCCGCAGGCCAAGGGAAGATCAACATTCAGCTCAGAGTGGCAGGTGGGGAGACTCGTCCTTCCAGTTTCAGTCTGTGTTTACTAAGAAAATAATCTCTCCGAGACTGCTTGTACATCTTTGATCATCTCTATTTGGCTTGTGTTATCAGCGGTTGATATCCACATGTTTATATGAGGTTGTCTTCCCTGTGCCAAATATGGTGGTTGAAGACATCCATAAGAGGTCTGACGGACATTTTTCCCTTCTCCACTTTCAGCGTTTTCAGCTCCCACTTTCAGGTTATCAGACGACGTTATGATCGCCGAGGCCGTTAGATGGTTCCCTCAACCCACTGTTACCTGGACCAACCAGGCAGGAGAAGTCCTGGATGCAAACACCAGTTTGACGGAAAGCTCGGCAGGGATATTCAGCGTCGTCAGCTGGCTGCAGCCGGCCGGGGACCACAGCCTGAAGATGGAAAATGATTTAGTGATGGCACTGTCTAACACCATCATAACAGGTTAGCTGTTTATCATTATACCAGGGGTTCTTTCTGTGTCTAACATCTCAAAGTGGGACTTTGAGACTTTCAATCGTTTAGCTTTGATCATGTCGCACTTTAATAACATTGACTTTCTTAAAAGATTTCCCACCGCTGTCAGAATCACACCTAATTCAGCTTTTTGTATTCTTTTCTGACCAACAAGCCTTATCCATCTCTTTTATGCAATGTTTGGCTTAGGAGGCAAAAATGTGTTATTTGTGTTTTGGAATTATCTTTTTTTTTAGCCCTGTATTTGATTTATCTTTCAGTCCGTACACTAAAAAAGTTGAAGCAAAAATGTTAAAATAGTAAATGCAGCAATAATATTTGGAAACAAAATCTGACAGTTTCTGCTGTGTTTTTCAGGCACTGCTGTTTCAAGCAGAACCTTCTTCACCTTCAGTGCTGCTCCTTCCCTGCTTGCATCAGTTCACCTGAACGTCATGGTCGGCCTCCTCTGTGCACATTATGTTACATAGTTAAGCCCGGTGACACAAAAATTACATGTTGAACACTTTGGCGTGTGTTTGAATTGTTTACAACGCATCAGAAGAAGCAAAGAAAGACACTTCTAACATTTTTTTCTAGACATTTCTTTGCTTTTCCTCTTAGTTTATGGCAGTTTTTAGACGTAATGGTGCATTTAGTAGATAAGTTATCCATTTTCTTTTGACTGTAAAATCCCTGAGGCCCCTGGTATGGACATACTGTGTGAAATTAGCACGTTTACATGTGAAAAACATGGTTCTAAATCATGTTCTCTTTGGTTTCTTGGATGCTGTGCTGCTGGAAGGAGTGGAGAAAGTTTGGTGAAAGACTTCCAACTAAGACAACTTGTAGTATCAAAAAGGACTCGATGCACATCCAATAGCCACCATATATTGCTGTTATGATAAAAAAAAAAAAACTAACAAACTGGTTTGTGTAACACGTTCCTCTCTGCTCTACATGTCTGTCCACCAAATGTGTTTCTGTTGTCAATCAACTGAACACAAAACTTAATCTACTGAACACAAAAACAATACCGCAGTGGTCTGGTTTCCCTCTGGGATTAATAAAGTATTATTGAATTAAACTGTCTAATTTTTCAACAAATAGTAAAATGCCAAACCATTCTGTGATATGAGGAAACTGCTATAAAATATGCAAAAATAAACTTTCCAAATTTGTCCATATTAAAATGGTCAATATTGGCATAATTTATATACTTCTTTTTATCCAAACAAATAAAAAATTTCAGAAATAAGAGGGTTGACAACCTGCATCACTTATGCTCGAACGTTGCTTTCAATAGCAGTTGAAAATATAAACATTAGTGGGAATACATGTTTTTTTGCAGAAATGTTTTCCATTACAGGAATGTCTTTCCCTACGAGGAGAGCCCAATAAGGTATTTCTGTCCACGTCCTATAGCTCATGGTCCGGGGCAGTAAAGAGTCCTGGAAAGCATTTGGACCGCCCCGAATAGCCACCCACAAGCCTCCCATTGGTGTGTCGGAGGCTGAGGTGTCGGATGTCCCGTGCGTTTTGAACGCAGCCTACTTTGTCGAGGAAGCGTGTAATTAGTGAAGTGAAAAGTAATTTGTGTAAAAGTGTAGGGACATTTTGGTAACCAGCATCAAGAGG